TGTTTCTTCTCTGCTCACCACTGAAAGTTGAATGGGAAAAGCTATTTATGAATTCTTGTTTTAAACAAATCCAAGGTTTACAAAAGCCAAAAAAGTAACTAGACTTCTGTTTTCCCTTATGTTGGGCCATATTTAATTTCTTAATCATTTGTTTTTAAAGTGTTGGGTTTTGTTTTTTTTTTTTCCTGAGGCTAAAGAGTGAAGATGTCCCCTCTTTAGTAAGCTTGTAATGCTTAAAATTGTCTGGATTTTTTTTTTTTTTTTTTAACCCAAACCTTAGTGAGAGGACAGTTTATTTGAGAAGCTCATGTATGGACAAAGATGATGTTTATGAAAGGCATTTTTCAAGATGGCTTTGTAGTAGGTGGTCTTTGCAAGAGGCTTTCTTACTCCTTGCACTTTCATAACAAGAATTATTACAGAATAATAGAGAGAATAATGCGGGCAAGATCATGAGAGCAGTCAAACAGATGTCATCCTTGTTAAACTGTTGGGGAGATACTGTGAGGAAACGAAGTTTAAGAAAAGGCATGGGGGGGCGTAGAGACCTCAATTATTGTAGAGGATTGTTCATTGCAAAAATCAGTCCCAGTAACACATCTTCAGTGAGCCTGGCTCCTCAGGGAGAATGTCTTGCATAGAAAGCTGTCTTCATGTAACCTCCCCTAGTCTGTATAAGAGCTAGTCTTTTGGTAAGAAGGCTGGGGTTTTGATTATTATTGTTTTACACATAATGCAAGTATGTGTTATGTATAAACATAACTCTTTAGGGCAATGTAGAGAATTGCAAGAAAAGCTCTTAATTTTATTGTTGTTTCTTTTCACGAAATGGAAGAAAAAGTAATTTATTTTTTCAGCTTTACCTTAAAGATTTTTAAGAAAATTGGAAACTTGCTTTTGGGCCACAGTAGTATACTGGCTAGGCTTCCCAATAACCAGTTCAGTCACTTTATTGACGTTTGACACAAGAAGGAGGAGAGGAAATATTATAAATGAATTGGAGGTTCCCAAGCATTTGTTTGATATTTGTAGTAAGCACAGATTCTGTAGAGTTCCTTCACTTACTTTTTGAAATAAATGAAAGCAATTGCTGTTTAAAAATAATAATAGAGCATCTCAGTGCTCTAGTGCTTTCGTAATGTGTTGAGATTTACTGTGGTCTTCTCATTCCAGTGGGGTATTTTAAAGCAATTCTGCAATAAGTATGGAAATACTTTAGAAGAAATATTAGACCTCAGGAGGCTCAGCACTTTTATTACATTTATTCGGCTCATCATGAAGGGAGATCTAGTGCCAATTTCTGAAATCCAGAAAAAGATGTTGTAATATTACTTTTGAGTTTTGGTATTGATTCAAACCAATTACCTGTGTGCCTAGGTATTTTGAAAGAAACAATAGCTGCAATGCAAGGGATACATGGCATTTGGAGGGGCGAGGAGGAGGAGAAAATAAACCGAGTAATACCCAAGTAGCTTCTACTTTACTTGTTTTCCTCAAGATTTCTTCCTCTCCATATTAGCTCTGAGTTCCTGAAGATGGCATCTTTAAGTTTGTGTTCCCGATTAACGTTCTGTGTAAATCCATTGCTCAGCAGGGAAAAGGGTGTTTTATGTCATCTTACTGGTGTCTAGACACATGCCGCTTCCTGCAGGAGGCGACTGGGTGTGTTTATTTACAGCTGTTTTGTATCTTGGAGCTCTGCTGAGGATCTGTGGGATCTGCAAAGACTATGTAGATAATGTTATGAGGAATAGATGCAGTTTGTCCTCTTCACTCTGGGTAAAGACTGGCACCTGATTCTTCTCTAACATCATCTTTGCACAGGACTGCAGAAGAAACTTTAAATTCTGAAAGGGCTGAACTTGTGTGCATAAGCATCATGTAGTTGTATGGGAATAAAGAAGGCTTTCCGTGCAATCTCAGATGGTGATTGCTCCAGATAGCATTAGGTTTAGCATTAAGAACTGGGAAGCTTGTTTCTGGAGTGCTGCCTCTTGTTTTGTCAGGCGATGCGGTGTTAATGCAGTGCAGATGAGAGGGGAGCTGGGCAAGCCTTGTGACTCCAGGACAGGAGATCTTGACAGAAGACAGGGTCTGTCATTGTCACCTGTGGTGAGAAAGTGGATCAGTACTGGGACAGGTGGGCTACCTGGGCAAGAAGGCTCAGGGTAAGGAACAGGAGGCAAGGAAGAGGAATTACCAAACTGTCAGGATTTGGAAGAATTGGGATATGGATACCTCTCTCCCTCCTGCCTTGAACTTATGGGTAAGAAGTCAGAGAGAAAATCGGCAGGATAAGGGCAGGAGATAGTTCATCTGCAAGACTGGGACCTGGCCTCAGTTTTGAAGTGAGCCAGAGACTGTCCTTGTGTGAGGGGAAAGACAGTGCTGGGAAAGAGATTGGATCAGAGCAGGAGGGAGGGACTGCCTGCCAGAGCACAACCTCTCTGAGGCAGGAGATGACTGTCTGCTGATTTCTTTGTAATCTGCTGATGCGCTCCTCCCTCTTCCAGTGCTGACCTGCCCACAGGGTTATAGACTGGGTCTGTTGACTACTCACTTCTCTAGCCTCATCTTGGGTTCACATAAAAGGTTCTAGTATCTTACAGACTTAAAAGAGCATCCATATGATACCATCAAATTCCTTTTTCATCAGTTTGTTGTTTGTTAAAAAAAAAAAGGAAAATTAATGTTTTATTGAAAATATAGTGTACTTTTCAACATTGTGAAGTCAGCCAGTCAAGAAATATTATGAGGTTTGCCAGTTAAAAACAAAATGAAAACGAAACCCCTTAGTTCCAGACATATCTTGTGTGTGTTACCGCAGGCTCTTACCAGACTTCCTTCACGTACTGGACATGGCTCACATACTGCAACTTAGAATGCTCTTGCTTTGTGAGCAGGAATCTGCATCTCCGATTCATTGCACACTCTTCAAAGGTAGTCTGAAAAGTTCTCTGAAAATATTAATGTCTGTGGTGTTCAGAGTTATCTAAATGCCTCTTCCACATTAATGAATTTGTCTTCAAAATAGCTTTTGAGATTGAGCATTCCTATTTTAAGTATATGAAACTGAGAAACAAACGTTTAAGATCAAATGTATTTATAGATTTGAGGTGGCTATTTAGGACCTGAATATTTTGGAGCATGGTGCAGCATTCCCTGTGTTCAGGGTACATTTCACACTGACTTCAAGTGCTTCAGAGCTGTGGGCTCTGAACTTGGGCACCCAGAAATCACGAATTAAAAATGCTGCTGTAAAGTTTTACTGTAAGTGTCCTGCTGTGCATCTGTGGCATAGATAGAGACAGGATCCTGGTCCGGGGGCAGTATTTGATTACTTTCACCAGGAGATCTTTCTCCTTATTCCTGCCTTTCCGATTTCCATCTTCATTTGCAGGGTGCATTCCAACTTTGGAACATAAAGAAATCAGTCAGTGGGAGCTTCTTTTATCCTCCTGGCAGATCTGTGTAGTATACTGAGAAATTTGGGGAGGTTGTGTAGAAGCATGGTGTATGATGGTACAGTGAACGTATTTTGTATATGCAGAAGCAGCTGTAACAGAGATAAGCATACCTAATTCTGGTATTTCCCAACTGCAGGTACTTGGAAACTGCAACTTCAGTGCAGTTTATTGTTAAGGATCATTTACAGAGGTTCTGGGTTTGATGGGCTTGACTGTTTGCAAGTAAAAATATAAAATATACCTTGATCCAAAATAAAAGTAGGTTAAGAGAAGCGTTATGAAGCTTGGCTTATATATCACACACTTTTTTATCAACCTGAACTTTTAAAACTGCGTACACTAAGGTGTTCTATGTGTGTACCTAAGGTTCCTGAATACTGACCTGTTTCCTCATTCCTGGAGTTTCTTAGAAATAAAGTAATTTCTTCCTATAGGTTATTTTTGGTTCTTGCCTTTCCAGTGTAGATGAATTCCTATTAGGAACTGATCAGAGATGACTTTACAAAGTTCCAGAATACCACATGATTTTTTTTTACCAGGAGTTTTAAGGAAGTTGTTGTGTCTCAGTAGAAGAATTCAGGAGTTGTGAAATGGAATAGGTGATGCAAAATCATGGTGGAAGTCATTAAAAGAAACTTTGTTTGCCCGTATTATGACTTCTGTAGGACCTGTGTCGCTATGGGCAAGGCTCTGTGTTTACTAAGTGGTGTAAATGTGGAGAAAGTAGGAGCTGGCGTGCTTCAGGTTATACGCATTTTACAGCTGCAGAGCTGCACAAAGGAAACTGCTAATAAGCCATAGGAATCTGTGATCAGTTGCATAGTAAACTAAATATAGGTTGCATAACAGGCGTACCCTATTGGTGTTTCTATTACGGAGCTAATTAAACTGGTTTGAGTTGGCTCCTAACTTCAGGTGCAAAGGAATACTCTTCTGGAAATGTTTCTTTGATAATTTTATGTAAGTTTTTGTTGATCTGTTGGGATATTATTTGTTTTGTTGGTGTTCTCTGCTAGTGTAGTGCCTGTAAGTAATGTTTTAATTTTCTCAGTTTATCTAAATGTAGCTGCCTTAATCGAATAAGTGCTGGGGGCTTCTCCCCATGGGACTGACTGCGCCAGTAAGCCTACTTTTGATGGGAAAATAATCCAAATACGTAATCATAGCCTATTACTTAGCTTAGCAATTCTAAACTTTGAGGAATACAATAATAACTTTCTAGTAGGAGATTGAACAGGCTCATTTGAATTCGAACATAAGTGATTTGGAATGTGTGTGTATATAGTGTCATTAAGCATTTTGACAGTCTAGTATTTTTCTGGATATACTTTTTCTTTACAGTTCAGAACTAGAGCTATACTTAATTTAAAAAAATGGAAGTGTAAAGTAGGTGTGGGCTTTCTTTACTGTTTTATGACTATGTGTTATTCCAAATTTACGTTAATTTTTCTCTATAATTTTGAGATCTTTAAAGGTTTTTAATTTTTGCATGATATAATTATTGTTTCTAAATGATTGTTTTTTGCTGAACAGAGTTTTCAGTAACTGAATAGACATCATGTCTCGAGCACGGCAGCCCCCACTTGTAACTGGCATCTCTCCCAATGAAGGCATCTCATGGACCAAAGTGACAATTAGAGGAGAAAATCTGGGAACTGGGCCTACAGACCTCATAGGTAAGTTGAAAAAACAAACACCTTCTTTTGAGACTGCAGAACATCACATTTAGATATGGTTAGAGATATTTTTTTCTTGGATGGTAAAACTACATTGCATGGTCTGAGGAATGCCCTTTTCACAAATGCGTGCTTGAATCCATAAGTTCAGGGATGCTGCTCTGTGTAACAAATCGGAATGACCATACTTTACTAGATGAACCCTTAGCCTGACTCGACATTCTATGCTGAACACTAGCTAAGAACGAATGCCCGTGGGAGCGTACTAGAAGAGGGTAGATGTAGCGAGATGCTCTTTGGTTACTTTCCCAGGCATTGAGAATTTCTGCATGGAGACTTGCCTGTAAGGAGTGTTTTCAATGTATTGAGAAAGTCACTGAGCACTTTTATTCCGTGAGTTAGTGCAAAAGTCAATTTGTGTGTCTGCAACAGTAATGACGAAGCGGGTTCAGTGATTTAGCTACGCGTTAAGCGAAGAATTGTTTCCTTCACTGTTTTGATTTTAACATAGTAACTTAATTTGAATCATTATAGCTCTTGTGTTAAAGAGGGAACAAGCAGTTTTCTCTGACTTTCCTGACCATACAGATCTTGATTATCACTGCTCTGTTGCTTCTTTTCTAGGCTGAAGTGTCCTAGTGTGTTTAAATTTTTTGCATATATCTTTGACCCTACTTGTTGCTCTTCAGTGAATCTTTTCTGGTTTCACTAGGAATGATGGGTGCAGAACATCTAGGTTACATGCGGTGTTCAGGATGTGAATGCACTGTGGCATAATACTGTACTGTCACTTTTGGTCTGTATTCCTTCTGTAGGTTTCTGTTTTCTGTATAACTCCTATTAAGCATCGAGCTAATGGTTTTTCATTGTTCTGCCTATTCTAGTCCCGTGATTCAATGCTTAAGGGTTAATAGTCAGTTTGAGCCTGTCATCTGTGAATTTAAGGTTTGGCCTGTGTGTGTCATATCTCTGTCCATTGAATTTCAGCTGCTGTTTCATAGCATCTAACATTTGTAATGTTTCCACTCAGATTCATAAGGTCTGGTCCACAATTTTTCTAGTTTTATGGTCTTTACATTCTGAATAAATTAGTATCATCAGCAAACTTTCCAACCTCTTTATCTTGTCATTTATGAATATATTGAACACAAGTGGTTCCAGCACACACCCTGGGGAAAGTTTCCTAAGTGAAAACACACCATTTACTGTAACCCTGCTTTTACATTTTAACGAACTATTTATCCGCTTGAGGATCATATCCTATAGCTGCTTAATTTTCTTAGGCCTTTAGAGAAGGACTTTGTAAAATCTTCTGGAAATCCAAGTTAATTACTGGAATTTCCCTTATTTCTTTTCTAAGTTAAGCATATGTGTCCTTTAGTGTTCATGCTAGAGACAATTTATCTAATTTGTTGTGGAATCGTGACTCCTCTGAAGTCCATTGGAATTTTGTTTGGCTTTGCTAGAAACAATATTTCACTTCATGGCTGTAAACCAAGATTCCCGAATTCCGTTCTTGGCCACCACAATGAGCTTTATGGCCAAGCATAAGCTACTGCAATTCTCTCCTTCACTTCAGTTTGCTTTCCTTCGAAAGGGGAAGTAGTATTTTCCTGAGCTGCTAGACAAGGTTGCGGTAGACTAATGAATCTTTATTGAGAAATAAATAACTGATGATGTTATAGGTGAGTATATTTCTGTGTATTTGTGTGATTGATGTACTTCGATAACCTCATTAGTTCATTGGTATGATCCTCGTGGAAGTGATCAGTGCTAGGTTCTTGGGAGGAAGACATCTCCTGAACTGTTCCTCAGCATTACAGCTCATGAACTGCTAATATTTTTTTCAGAGTAACTCTTGTAATGCATAGCCGCTAATAATCTCATGTTTTGAGGTAAAAAAAAGAAAAAGAAAAAAAAAATTGCTGTATTTTTGCCTTAGCTCAATTCTCAGCTTTGTCCAGTAAGTGACTAAGGCCCCAGACATGTAAAGGTTTCTTTTAATGGTTAAATTAGGCATGTAAATATTCCCTGCGACTTGAATGGAAGTGCTTGCAAAAGTGACCCTTTGTAGGCATGAGGTTTAAGCAACTTCGAGTGAGTGTTTTCTGAAGTTTATAATCTGCTATTTGAGAATCATTAGAGTAAAATGGCAAGCAATTAACTTTTTTATATATATAAACAGAATATCACATAATAGAAGAATATGCCCTTTCATTTCAGAGAGCCTTCTTGTAATCTGTTTGTATCTTTGAAACCAAATAAGCTTTTTATTTGTAACTCTATAGCTCGTTGTACAAGAAGCCAAACCCAGGAGATACTTGACATTTATGCTCTCAAGGTTTAGTTTGTCTTTTAAGACATTTGCAGTTGTATTTTGTAGGCATTGTAAAATTGTCAGTATATAAGCTTAACCAAAATTGGAGAGTCTCAATAAGAGAATTATTTGTGCCTGTTTATTGAAAGGCACATAAAAGCTAGAACCTCAGTATGATGGTCTCAAACATCTTCGTACCATGCAACAGATTCAAATGAAGGTTTATTGAAAGGGAAGATTTCTCTTTTTGGCGGGGGAAAAAAAAAGAAAAGTTGTATCTGTACTATCAAATGGTGTCCCCCAACATGTATTTATTTGTTTTGAAATTGTCTTGTGCCATTACTCTATTTAGTGTGGTATATAAAATGTTAATAGATACTTTCTTTTGCACTTTGAAGATACAGGCAAAGGGTGTTTCCTTAGGTTTCAGAAGTGTCGGATGTTGTGATCTTGTTCTTTGAAGAAATTTAGGTACCTCCGATGAGTAGAAAATAAATAATACGAGGATCTTTAAAACAGTTGTTCAGAAATGTTTACCCTACTAAATTGCTATAGCTCAGATATTGATTTTAAAGTATTCATTTGAGCATGAATTCAGACCTTTGAAATTCTAGGGTGAAAACCTTATTCTGAATAGCTCAGACATTCTTTCAGTCAGCCTTAGTTCCAGCTGCGATCTCTTTTCCTTCTGGGAAGTTGCGAGCGTAAAACCAAAAGAGATGTAATCATATCACCTGAGGTTAAAACCCACGGATCGTAAGTGTGGGGGTTTTTTGTCTTCGCCTGTGAGAAATAAAAACTGGCCTGGTTAAAATGTTGCGAATAAGTAACATCCAAAATATTGTTTTATTTTCAGGCTTTATTGTGTGTATCCTATTTCACCATTCCCCCCCACCCCCCGCCCCTTTTATTCAGGCATCTTTTAAGGAACAAATGTATTCTCCTTGCTGAAGTAAAACTGCCTTCAGTTGTAATAAGGTTCAGTGCTTTTCTGTTTTATACTTTTTTGGTTTTCATTTTCAAAATAGTTTTTGGCAGGGAGTAAGGCATTTTTATGTCTGACAACTGTGAAAACTGCCAAATTTGTCTGCTGTGTAATGTCAGAGACTTAAATTGTGAGAAAAAGTAAGGGTGAAGCTTTGGTACTGAGCCACATACGCTGACCCTTTCTGTCTGTAAGTATTTTTTAAATTGGTCAGAGCTTTCTAGAAATTAAAAACAAAAGCCAAGCCAACAGGAGAAGAACTGCTATGCCTGACTAATTTATACTCCAGTACAGCCAACGTACTAGTGTAGCCCTGTGCTTCTGGAAATGTTTCTAGGTGAGGGTGTTATTTAAGAAGAACCCAGTGAAGTTGTTCTCCAGATCAATGCTATAAAAGTTAGGATCTTGCCAGTTCTTCGGGACAACAAAACCCTGATTGGGAATATGGAAATTGTTGTTCCAGATCTGAGAAAACAATCCATCAATTCCAGCATCCACAGTTCTGATATGACCAGAATCCATTGGATTGATCAGTCAGATTGATGAGTTGGTCAGACTGATCTGATGTGAAGCTCCAGGAAGATTTGGACCTTACATTATGGTGCACCTTGACTCTTAAGAGATGTTCTTAAACACTAAAGCTTGAAATATTTTAATATGCCACAGCCTTTTCCTACAACAGGGCTTCGTGGCTAAATAGGTTGTAATTTTATTTCCTAGTTTGTTGTTTATACTTCAGTTATGAGAAAGTTTAGAAAAGGATGAACATTACATGACTATTCTTTTGTACAACCAGGGGACTTTTTTCAGCAGAATCCGAGTCTTGTATCATGGATTTTGTATAGGAGAGATTGGGACAGACTTTTTTGACCAAAAGACCCTTCTGTTTCTGCAAAAGTACTGCTAAACAAAGAAGGCTGAAGAAACTTTGTTCAGTGTGAATATTTTACAGGGTTTCTTTATTTTTTTTGCTACGCAAAGTCACACAGAGTGAACTTACCGAAGATTTTTTTGCATGCAGTTTTGATGGAGGTTTCGCCTAAGTACAATACTGAGCAGCAGTACTCCAGTGTGGTGCAGACAGAAGGTCTGTTGTACGACATGAAGTACAAGTTGCAGTAGCCCATAACTGGTGGAAGAGATTAAAATAAGCTTCATGCAGCACTGCATGTGTTTCGAGAAATGGCACTAGGACCGAAGACCTGAAGTCACCGAGGGAATGTCTGCAAAACGTATTCATCACTCTTTCACTGTAGTTGGCTGTAAGGGACTAGGGAAGAGTCATGTATTTATGTAAAACATATGAAGCATCATAAACGTATTTGCGTTACAGAATTTCAAAAGATACTTCTATTCACAGCAGAGTATTTCTTTTCTTCTTTTTCCCAGGTTTAACAATCTGTGGGCACAACTGTCTGCTGACTGCTGAGTGGATGTCTGCCAGTAAAATCGTTTGTAGAGTCGGACAGGCTAAAAATGACAAGGGAGACATTATTGTTACTACAAAGTCTGGTGGCAAAGGAACTTCAACTGTTTCCTTCAAACTGCTTAAACCTGAAAAAATAGGTATTTTTCTTGTTCAAATTCACATCTGTTTTCTTTGCTAAACAAATATGACTGAGTGCGTCTAAATAAAATATATGTTTAAAATGGATCCACCTCAGGGCAATCTTCAGTTGTCTAGAAAAAGCAGGGTATATCAATAAAATGTGCAAATATATGCATAGATAAACTCACAGCATATGTGAAATTAATCCTCTTATCTCAATGTCCATGTGAAATTAATCCTCCTATATCAATGTCCTGGTGAAACTGCCAATGACTGATGAAAGGTAGCCCTTTATATTTCTGTAAGCACTAAACTTCTAAAACTTTAAAAAGTTCATAACAGATCCAGTAATTATTTTCAATGTACTAGATAAATACAAAATATAAACCAGCTCATGAGCTTCATGCCTAAATCCTGAGCTGACAGGCAGTCCTTAAAAGAAAGTTGAGTCCTCTGTGCTGTTTCTTATTTATAATTCAAACCATCCTGCAAGACAGAAAGTCTGAAGTATTTCTTATGAGGAGCTTAACCATTAAAATGATGCTGCCAAACAGTCTAGGACCTCTGCTTAATCTAGAATCCAGTCTGAATAACCTCTGGATTGAGAATGTTTCTCTTAGAACACCTCCATTGATGAAGTTGGATGGTTATCTTGTCTACTGCAGGGGTTCCCATAAGAACTGTTTAGGTTTCTGTTTTCTGCGATTCAGTGACAGTTAAATAACACAGATTCTCCCAAGCTGTACTAAGATAATAATGGAAAGGTGGACCGATTGCAAGTGTGACACCGTCAGGCTTTTGGTGATGGGAGAGGAGAATTGGTACTTGAAAAAACAGGTAAGTATTGGGATGGAGGATTTTCTGGTGTTGAGTATCTGATGGGCATGTCTAAGAGTATGGCTGGCTGCATTTTTTAGCTGAGGGCCAAGACATATTTTGCCTCACCTTTCCACATTGTCTGTGCTTTGGAAAGAAAGTCAGGCCTGTGTCCAGTGAGTTACCCATCTTGGCATGTGGCCACAGTTAATTTACTTTCTAGTTAGCGAGTGGCACAGAAAAGGGATCTTTACTAAAACATGCAAATAAGAAGACCTTCAGGTAATTGCTCATTTTGAAAGTGGTAGATGGCAAGATTTGGACAGGTACCAAAATACTTGGAGGAATGAAAAACACTAATACTCTGTGATCAGGATCTTAGTGTACACGTAACTGTGCGATCTCTAAGAGGTAACATTTGATGCCCAGCCATGAATACCTTTTCAGCAGCTATAATACAGTAATTTAGCGTAATTGCATCCAGGTTGTTTTGCCATATATCTGCCAGTATATTACCAAGGCATGCATTTTATATTTATCAGGATTTTTCAAATTAATTCAGTATGTTAGAAGTTGATGGTGCTGGACCGCCCTTGTTGTTTTAAGGATCTGCACTTTGTTTTCTCTAGGTATCTTGGATCAGTCTGCTGTCTGGGTGGATGAAATGAACTATTATGACATGCGCACTGATAGGAACAAAGGGATTCCCCCCTTGTCCCTGCGTCCAGCTAATCCGCTTGGTATTGAGATAGACAAGTGAGTACCAAATGCCTTTAAATCCACTTTTTTAGTGGTTTTCTCTATATGTGCCTTTGTGAATTCCAGAAACGTTTTAACAGTTTACAGGGCAGGGAAAGATTTAAAAGTACATACATATATTGGCTATTGCTATGCTATTTGGTACTCAAGAGTTGTTGGTGCACATTCTATCCCGTTTCATAATCCTTATGTTTGGATCATCAATTAGAACTGTAGATAATTTAAAAGCCTGGTGTATTGAACCCCAGTGATGTTTAAATTTTGAGGACTGATAAATAACCTAAGGCTTTGGATTTATACATTGCAGTTATGGAATACTTACTGTTGCATTTGAGTTTCATGGGGATTTTAAGGATATTTAGATTGCTATCTGTTGCTAAAATTGCACTGTAAAATGTGATTTATTATACCACATCAACTAGTTTATTTTATTGAAATATTAATACTGCTTTCCAAGCCACAGGACTATTTTACTTTTGTTCATCAGTGTGGTGGAATTTGACTTTTTTTTTTCTGAAATAGAAACTTTATAGTGAGTGATAAACAGAATAGGAAGGCTTTAAATGGGACACTCTTGGGGCTCCAAACCTGATGAACTCCTAGAAATACCATCAGGAATAATATTTGTCTTGATCAATATACCAGCTCTACCAAAACCAAAGCCTATTTAAATTAACCTATTACTAGGGGTCTCATCTGCTGAATACTCTGAGGAGTGCACTGGAGAAAATCTGCAGTGTCCATCGTTACCTTGTTCTGATGGACAAACTGCACTTGCCCAAAATCTCTATGGGATTTCCAGTGGATCCGTCATCAGCTTCCCAGCCTTTGGCTGTGCATTTCATTCCTAGTTTGAATATGTATTTTGCTTTTTTTTCAAAGTGATAATCCAGTATTTTGGTTTGTGTATTTTTTTTTTTTTTTTTAGTAAGCTGAAGATTTTGTCTCTCAAAGTACTTTTTTTCCAGCCTCTGACATAACTTCTGATAGATACTTCTTTCATTTTCTCCTGTTTTCCAACCCTGTTAAAATATGGACTTTCGGATTGTGGACAGTATTCCAGGGTCTTACTAGAAGACTTCTTGTCTCTCCTCCACTCTCCCTCCCCTGTTCAGAAATTAAAAAAAAAATTAAAATAATCCTTTTTACCACAGTGCTGCTCTGGCAGCTAGCAGCGAGTGGCTTGTTAGCTGATGTTCTTGAGTTGCTACTTTTGCTGCTGGCATGGTTGCTCATTATTCCTGTAGGGATGGCCTGGATTCCTTTGTCCTGGCTATGTCTTTTGGAATTTGATGGTGTTTCTCTGTGTTGCTTCCTTGACAAGTTTGTCTTCTCAGTCCAGATGACAGTTTGTAGTCTTAATATTTTTAGCAACTACTTCTAAAAAAAGTATTGATCATAAAGCTATTATTGGTGATGATGATGCAGATACTGATGAAGAGTAATGTGGGCTTCGGTAAAACTCGTATTTACAGATGTCCTCAGGTTTGCTTCTCCACGGATTGCTTTTCTTTTGTTGTTAGTGTTTCAATCCATATGATGAATTCTACTGGTGTTGCATAAAACTAAGTTTTTAATCAATCTTATGGTAGCAAGTCTCCTTTAAAATGATGTTATACTAGTTTTGTCTGGTTACTTTTTTAATGACACACTTAATCTCAAAGCCCATATAGTATTTTCTCAAACATGGTCTTATGAAAGAGTTGTGACTGGCTGACATTTTATCTAATTTTATCTGCTTTAGTTCTGTATTTGTTGAACGCTGCAACAGCTTTTCCATTATTTTATCTGGGATTTAAGTAAAGGTTACTGAATCTGTTGCTTAGTCTTCTACCCATATGTATCTCACAATACTTTCTGTAAATACAGTGGTTATGTCACATTTATTTTTATTGTCTTACTAAACAAAACTTCTGATGTATTTAACTTCATAACAAAAATTGATAGTTATTACAGTTAAGATAGTGTCAATATGATAGGTTAAGAATTACCTTTCAGAAAGCTTAACAGCATTGGTTTAGGGTTTGTTTAATTAGTCATCTGTATGGATGTTTGTTAAATAGGAAACCAACAATATTATATATTTTAAATACTTCATCTGAAGGCATTAGAAAATATATTAATGAAACATCAGATTTTGTGCGAAAAAGAAATAAGTCAGAAATATGTAAGTACAGATAGAAAATAACCTTTTGGGGGTGGGGAATAGGGAAATACTATGACAGGCGTAGTATCAAGCCTAGTTCATTGTTCATTGATCTCCAAGTCCGTTAGAGGTGAAAGTGACCAGTTTGAGAGAAGGAACACTAGGCAATATAACAAGTACTTCTGTAGCGGGATTGAGGGGTAGGTTGTGGAGAAGGGAGGGAAATAGGGGGAAAGAGAGAAAAAGCTTGGTCTGCCCTCGTGCTGTGGGTGACAGCATGGTATTCAAAGTTGTGACTATAGATGGAACGTTCTCTGTTTAGAAGTGCCTCCCCAGTGGAAAAGCTTTCATAAATTGCACAAAGAATTGGAGCAATACTACCGTACTTGTGTAAATGATCTCTAATACCACATAGTTTAACTGAACTCACATGTTTGTGAATACTTGACGTTTGGGATGAGTAAGTCATAAGAGGTTGTACAAGGTAGTGAAAAAGGCAATTATAAATTAAGAAAGGGAGTGAATAAGCAAGATATTAGCATCAGCTGTTACTAGGCATGGTAGTAATTTATCACTAGAAGTGATAAAAATTGTTAGAATTTTGGGATGCTTTAAAATATAACAGTTGTGTATACGAGGAGATGGAACTGCAGCGTACTGGGTCTCTCCTCTATTAATACCTTTGGCTTCTCTAAACTACTTTTAAATATGTGCAAATTGGGATGTATTTTACCACCTTGGTATGAGGTGGTGGGTTTTAGAACCCTTGCAGCCTGATGACTGGTAAGGAAGAGAAAGGAATGCCTTGTATTGGTTCTGCAAATAGTGGTAAACAAAAGAAACATTTAAAGAGAACTAAACAAATTTTTATTTTGACTTAGCAGACTCAAGATTGGAGTTTAATTGGGAGCAACTGGGATTTAAGTGAACAAAAAGGTTGAACTGTGAATTAAGGGAACTACATAATAGTGGTTCTAATGCATTTGCATTAACAATTAGAATACTGCCCGTAGATATATTGTAGGACTAATATATATATATATACATACACACACACTCAAAATACACACTGGAATTCTCTTTTCCTCTTCCAATGATGCAAGGATGCAAAGTAAGAACTATGGACACACATCCTCCTAATTGTTTTTTACATAGTCAAGATACTTTTAAATGTTGTATGTATACACTGTGTGTAAGCCATCATCTTTCTGCCTGGAAGTTTAACAAGTAGTAAGTATACATAATTCCTGGCTAATAAGTTCTTCATATGTTCTAAGAACTAATTGCTGTTCTTGTGCCATACAACTAAGAATCTCAGTTGCTAAATAATAAAATCATTTATATTGTACTGAAACTTGAACTTGGTGGTTGTTATGTTTCAGTGATGATCCTTAGAGTCACAAGTGTATTCATAGAAGAGTGCACACATTTGTTGTGCCTTGCTAACAGTTGTTTGTTCATCTTTTAAAACACAGAACTGATCCAGTTAGATGTGGGGGTTTTTTTTGTGTTGCTATCACTTAATGCACACTGTGCGTATACTATGAAGTATTTAATTTATGCCAAAATGGGTATTTAAAATATTTAATCTTTGAGTTCTATTTTTTTAGCTTTCAGAATGGAGTAAAGACTGATGCAAAGCTTTAGTTTTCTATCACCATCTTGCTGCCTTTAAGTGCAAAGCAGATCTGTGCCACCTTCCTCCCCAAGGAATATTTCTGGCTGTGACGTTATGCAGATGTAGCCAGAAACCCTTACAGAAGGCTTAAATAGCTTGCAGGAAGGGGAGTGTACGGAGTAGTTGCCTCAGTCTGAGAAGTGTGGGAAGTCAGTATGAAACTGCTAACATTAGCAGCGATGTTGCAGTACTTGGGTTAGTTTTCTCAGTTTAGAGCTGTTAAAGGGGCAGGTTGGTAGGTTATGTCCTAAGTTTATTCAGGATTTTGAACAGTTCTGGGAGAGAATATGTGATGCCAGTTTCATAAAGGCACTGCTTGAAATCTGTTGCTGGAAAATTTTAGATCTCTGAGATTTGCGAATGAATTGCTTGTTTGGATGTACCACGTGTTTTTCCCCTCCCTCACAACAATTCCTTGTTTAATCAAAGATTCCCTGCCTCTTTTACCTACTCTGTCAGCCTAAGAAAATCCATTCTCTGCAAACCAGTAACAGCAGTTGGACCTCGTGGTGGTTAGAAAGAAAGTTTTTGAATAGTGTTTGTTGTTTTGCATGTAGCAGAGGTCATCATGGTGGATCCATCTCGTACATGAAAGCAAATGCTGACATGCTAAGTACATTCCACATACTTCTGTATCCACCCACTCAATACAGATGCTTCCCTCTTCCCACGCCAGCTTCCAAAAGAGTCCATCTGGGACGAGGGAACAGATGATCTTACGCTGCCACCTAATGGTAAATGCCAGCTTCCAAGAGTTTCTGGAGGCTTTGATATTTATTTATTTTTAAATGGCTTGTATAGAGATGCAGGCAGTTTCATCCTGAATGCGATGGGCTTGTGGAAACTTATTACAGAGACACCTGCGAGAGAGAGAAGCAGTATACAGTTGTATACAGTCCTAGTTTTATGACGTTAAAGAATTAGTAACACTTCCTGCTTGTAAGGCTGATGCATCAGTTGCAGCTACCTGCCTATAATCTCGTAATAGTTTTCTTCTACCACATTCTGCCATTTTTCAAATATGATTGTCATTTTGGGATGTCATATTTCTGATAAACCCAGTACTACTAGGGAGTAATTGCCAGAGTGCATACTTCTTTTGCTTTTTGGAGAGACCTTTGTTAACACCTTCGGATTTGTCGTGTTTAGTCTCCTTCAGTGTCCCTTATGCTG